TTTTAAGTCGTGGTTATCCTACACATTCCCATGACATAGACTGAGATGACTCATGGGAATAGGGGAACAATGGCTAATACTATGTTCACACAGCAGAATGATATAGTTGTCAGTCCTGTTCGGAGTGTTAAATATGATTCATTCATGCACAGCTTGTAATGAAAGAAAGTGAATTTTATATTCTATAACCAAATACTATATTAAATATGGACAATCTGAAATATTTGTAAGGCACAACCAAATTTATAGAGCATTTTAAGTTGATATATGCTGTATGAACAGAACCACAGTTGACAGCTAATGTCACATTATTGACTTGAAGTACACTGCCTTTTTTTCTTTTCTTTTTTTGAAAGAAATTTCAACATTTTATTCAGCAGGACTCAAGGAAAATTGATCAAAAGTGACAGTAAAGGAATTTAAATTGTTCCCAAAAAATTATATTTCAAATAAATGCTGTTTATCGAAGAATACTGAAAAAACTATCAGTTTGCACAAAAACATTATGCCGCACAACTACTTTAAACATTGATGATAATGTTTCTTGAGCACCACGTTTGAACAGTAGTGTATCTGATTCAAGTTCAATTTCTTTATTTACTATTATTATCTGTTGCTGTGGTTACAGGCATTATGCAAGAGTTACAGAAGGGATTTGGTGACGCCCATGAAGACGTCATGTCCTTTTGACGTCACGCCAAAAACAGTTGTCACTCCCAAACACTGACTGTGTGAACAGCCTAAAATTTTTAATTGGGCTGTTAAAAAAAATGTCTCAGGAAGCTACTGAGATATTCTCAGCAGCAGTTTGCTTTTGTATCATGTGGCGCTTCTAAACTAATGTGTCGGTCTCTCCTCTCCACCCCAGGCTCTTTCTCGCGTCACCCCAAGCGGCCTGCAGTCTGGCGTACCTCGATGAGACCCTCCACACGCCTCAAGAGCAGACCAACCACAGCCCTGATCTGCACTAGGGCTTCTCCAGCAGCCTCTAACCATGTGAAATCAACCTCAGCAAATCAAATCGAAACAGAGACTTAATTTCCTCCTCCCTCTTAATGCAATTAAACACACTTGAGAGTCACGCAAAACTTGAGAGAGATGGACAGTTTTTGGTTTTCTTTTCTTCTTTTGTCACATACACCACACAAACATTTCCTCACATCCACACCTACTCTAACTCCAAAAAGACACATCAGTTGTGCTTGTTAACATCACTTTCTGCCAGACAATCGCTGGCAAGGTGGGAGGGGCGGGGCGGGGGGCGTGATTCTCGGTCATCGCTGCCTTTGGCCCTCTGACACACACCAGGAGGAGAGGGCCGTCCTCCTGCCGTCCAGAGGCCTCTTTGCAAAGCAGAGCGTCTTGGCTAAAACCATGTATAATGGCTCTGATAGTGTGACTCACCCTCTCCTGTTGCAAAAAATACTTTTACACAGCTTGGAATGCAGCTGTACTGATAGCCATTGACTTTTTTTTTTCTTAACGTAACATTTTATTTTTGTCTTTTTGTTTATGTACAACAGAGATTCAATTGATTTCACACTGGCTACAGTCTTTTGCAGATGAATCTTATCTTTTTGTTCGTTTAACAGCGTTAAGCTTAATGAATCATGCAGAATTGAATAGAATTGTTTGAAAGCCTGTTCGTTAATGTGGCAGGATGAAGACAGTCACTTTTATGTCTTTTTGTAGTTTATTATACGGAAGGCCAGGTGGAGAATCATACAGCAATGGTTCGAATAGTTGTTCCCACAGTACCACCTTTATACCGTTACAGCTTTTTAGATTATTTTTTATTTTCTTTGCACCAAGCAACCTGGCCCTCTTTATCAACTCTAGGTTTGGTCATTGTTTTTTTTTAGTTTGTTTTTTTATTGCATTCCCTTAAGCTTTTCTTTTGTTTCTCGAAAGCTGTGAAATGCCTGTATTGTAGAGTTGTTGATGTTATTAATGTTGCTGTTTGTTTCTTTTTTTACCCCCTGAACTTAGCTTAGTGCTTTTACAGTAACACAGGCACACGTGGTTGGGACAAGATTGTTGGACAGCGTCACGAAAATACATTTATAGCAGATTAGGAAGTCTAATAATGAGAAAAGGGCTTCGTTTTTTTGACCAGAGGGTATAAACTTGGAAAAAACTCCTGGTATTCTGACAGGTTTGGGAATATGTTGAAACAAACTGGCACTTTTTTTTCTTTTCACATTTGTGTTTGGGTTTGGAATGCCAGCTTGTCTCGATGAGAGAACACCAGCCATTATTTAAGCCATGCCTGGTTTCTTTTTGATTTTCTTTTGACTGAAACTTTTAAAAATTGAGATGCAGGTTTTTGTTTTTCCTTCAACTTTATTTACTGAGTATTACCAATGCTTTTAGTACTACTTTTCCCTTGTTTCAGAAGTGTGGTCCCTTGACTTACTGGTGCTATAAGTCACAGAGGACATGGAAGGTGAGCTTGCCTGTCCATATCATTCAGCATAGTAGAGCGTAGGCTTTTTCTGTAGTCATGGGGTGGGGGGTCTAGTGGTGAAACTCTGAAAATTCTGGTGTCATGTATATAGGATGTTTCTAGTGATGGCAAAGTACCATTTTTTTCATAGCCACTGTCTGTGTGTGTGTGTATCGTGTGTTTGGGGAAAAGGCTAGTGCTTAGAGAGGTGAGAGGGACTTTGTTCCGTTCTAGATTTGATAAGTTAGTAATTTTCTCTCCACTGGTGGTCTCACAGAAACAGCCGCTCCAGTACTGGTGGTGTTTAAATGTAGGCACAAGTACACTTTGTCGGGACCGAGCTATTATGGATTTCTCCATTTCATTTTTCTGGTTCATTCTTCTACACACGACTGCTTGGCCAGTCCTTCTGCATCACACTGTGCTGTATCAGGTGGAATTATAGAAATCTTCCTTCCCTGGAAGATTTTTTTTCCTCATTTGTATTGCCACTGTATTTGTGTATTTTAAAATGTGTAAATAAATTAAGTACTTGTAAGTTGTATTCGTTTTTCTTTCTCTCCACCTCTTAAAAATTAAAATGTTCCCTTCCCACCCCTCATGTCGTTCCCAACCCGTGAGACTTTTGTTCGTCTTTGAAACATAAATTAAGATATCTATAATAAAACCTGGGAAATTGAGTGTGTAACACAAACTTTAATACTTCAAAAAGTTAATAAAGAGATCTCACAAGTGGACCTTATGATTCGAGCGGTTTAATCCAAGTCTTCTGAAGAGACGTGATCGATTGATCAGCGCACATAGAGCTTCAGAAGTTGACGTATACAAAGTTTTGGTGGTATAGATAGACTTTAATGGCGGAACAGAAATCCCTTAGGCTTTATTAAAAAGATCAACGTATTTCGATGATGAACGAAAGCCTTATGAGTTCAGAAGGACATGAGGGTGAGTATGACTATTGTCACTATGAAATGGTTAAGCGGTATACCAAATGTCATTTGTACAGTATATACATGCCTCAGTTTGCCCGTGGAGAAATATTTGAAAAGACAATTGCGACATGTATTCAACATTTATTGAGCAGATTTGGTTTTATGTTTTCGGCACACAGAGGAGAGCTCATTATCAAATAATGCAGTCATTCTTAAATTAAAACTAATGAAAAAATCAAATAAAATACAAAATATTTCCCAGCCTGACTCAGATAGGCACCGTGGAAGGGCAGTTTGGCAGATTCTGGGGTTACTGAGTCTAAATTTCTCATAGCTGCACTGAAGATGTATTATTATTTTTTTAATTACAAATATTCAATCTGGTAAGTAGTTTAACCAGTAGTGGATCTGATGCTGGTATAAAATTAGAACGAATGCCACTAGGCAGTGCTGTCAAACCTAATTTCTATTACAACAAAACAATGGGACACACTGCATGCTTTTCTGTCATCATTTTCTAAAAATAAAAGAAACAATTTCACCACGATATCAATTGAGAGTACTTTTCTTTCAGGTTTTCATTCATTTTAGGTGCATTTTTGGTGAATATTAAAAATAAAATAATTTGTTGAGATTAAACTATTGAACAGCTCAGGTTTGTTACATTCAGAGTAGGAGAAAAAACAGGTAAATGCAAATATTGCTAAAGGACTCTTCAAACGAAGTCATAAATGCAGAGATTCCTGCTCTCTACTTCACTACGCTGACAATCTCAGCATAGCAGTGACAAGTTAAAAGTACGGTGTCAGAAAAGGAATTAACAATACAAACTAATACAATTATATTGAACTAACATAAGCTATCCAGCGGACCTGATTCTGTCCTTTGACATTGAGACCTATAAGGTGAAGCGTGGCAGTAAGTGGCAGGTGCCAATCCAGCAAGATTACAATAGCTTTCTATCAGGAATGTTCTAATAATACTAAAAGAATATAACAGTACTGATCTTTATGCAGGAAATCATGGCATTTTCAGATGTCTACTTAAGCCAGTGGACCGCATTGCTCACAACGCACAAAAACAAAGCATTTCACATATTGCATGGGGTCCCAAAGTATAATCGTTTAGAGATAGGGACATACTATTACAAAAGCGCGTAAACAGAAGGTGCATTTTGTGTGAGAAGTGGAAACTTCAGATATCGGATGTCTCTCCTGATATCAATAAGTATGATCAGACTTTCTGTTCCTGTGATAGCAGTCTACTTGAGTTTTGTGATGTTTTCTTAGTCAAAGGCGCTGTAATGATATTTAAGTCACCATGTCCTTTTTTAATGGAATGTTGCAGTATTTATTATAAATGGTTTATCCGTGCACATCATTATTTAACTAATCTGGCATCATAATCAAACAATTTTTTTTTCAAAATTTCCCTACCTCTTGTCCCTTGCAACACGCCTCCTCTTTCTCAAACCCTGCAGTTTTGGTGTAACCATGGTGACCAAGCAATATTCAAGTATTGCTTATATTTAAAAGGGGCAATTAAAAGCTTGACTCATTTACTGTTCCTTTCGCTTTTTGTTCTTCTAGAACTTTCAGCTGTGTAAACCAAAACTGTTGCACCCCTCCAAACTCATGAAAGCTGCTCTTCCAAGTTAATCTATCACACTCTCAGTGTCCGGTTTGTCATATATGGACTGATTGACCGGCAGAAAGCGCTTTCAAATGTATTCCGATTGGCTAAAAAAAGCTTCTGACCGGAGACAATTTTTCTTTTACTGTTTATGTCTGTCACGGAGATCGGTGTGATATCTCAGTAGTCATTTCAGTAGATAAAATAATTTTCTCCAAACCATTCCATAAGAAAATCGCTTACAGCACCTTTAACCTAGTCAACGTAGGTGTAAGTCAAAGAAATGTCTGTGGTTTTGAGCTACAGACGTACAGAGAGTGGCTTGTCCAGATCTCTGTGTGGCAGTGCAAATGCGATATTTTGAACAGCATGAGTGCAGTGTAGGCCTCTATTATTGATTAAATATTCATCTGTCAGTAAACAGCACACACATCAGGATATCACATCAGACTACACACAGTGACACACATTAACACTGCAACTCTCAATCTCCTCTTGTTTGTGTCTTTACAACCTTTTCGTAAGCAGAAAAGGTCAAAGCTTTGATGTCCTTCAGAGGTCAGATTCTGGACTACAGGCGACGTTCATCTTCTGCCCATCTTTAACTTTAAGAAATGTTTCCACTTCTGTTGAATCCTCCACTACACTCTCAGGTCTCAGATCACCCGAGTTCTTTGGCTTTTCTGAGTTTCCACTGGTCTTGTGTGGCTCCTCTATGGGTGGCGTACAGGAGTGATTCTTTGCCTTGACTGTCTCTCCAGCCTCCACTGCAGCCTCAGGTGCCTCGGGCTTCTTCTTTATGAACAGGAAGTTGCATATGGCCAGCACTAAAGCTGACAACACAACCTCAATCCCAGCCAGCAGGAAGACATACATGTAATTCTTAGTGAAGTCCAAAAGGCGCCCTTGACAAAGTGAGAACAAGGTTTCAACGGCATTCAAAGACTCAATAGATTACAGTAAAGTGTACCAAGGTTTAATGATTAGGGATGTGCAAGACATGACATGCATAACATAACTGACTAGTTGGTGAGTTGTCAGTCTGCTTTTGTTAAGGCTGATTTAGTGCACAAAACCTTTAGTCCACATAAAAAATTAGAAATGATGTTGTATAAATAATTTATATAAGATATATACGATAAGAAATACAGTAAAAACAGTGATATTGTGAAATATAATTTTCTTAAATATCTTTTATATACATATTAGGGCTGTCAAATGATTAATCGTGATTAATCACATCCAAAATAAAAGTTTTTTTTACATAATATATGTGGGTGCATTGTGTATAATTATATATATAAATACACACACATGCTTGTATATATTTAAGAAATATTTTCATGTATATACTGTATATAGATTTATATATAATTTATATTATATATAAATATAAATATTTTATATATAAATTATATTTTTTTCTTAAATATACATGCATGTGTGTGTATTTATATATATACAAAATAATTATACACAGTGCACCCACATATATTATGTAAAAAAAAACTTTTATTTTGAATGTGATTAATCGTGATTAATCATTTGACAGCCCTAATACATATATATAATTTACATAAATAACACTTGCAGCAGAACATGTGCATTGTGTATTATGCATTTTTGTACCACGGCCATATAATGCTCCTTCCTGTTTTTAGCTTTTCGAAAACTAAATTCACATATAAAGTAAGAGGAAGCTAACCTACAGTATCAGCCATTTTTAGTTTAAAATGAAATTTCAACACTTACCAGCAGATGGAGGTCCGACCAGCACAGCAATGGCTTCAAACAGGAGAACTAAACCAATGGCGCTTGAGAACTTCTCTGTACCCACAACAGCCATGAGGACCTCAAACTGCAAAGCACCAACCATGCCATAAGAGATGCCGAAAAAGATGCAGAACACCACCAGAGAGGAGTAGTCTTTAGACAAGGAGCCCACCAGATCTGTGATGCCATTGAATAAGACAGCAAAACTGAATAGGTAGACGCAGCGAGGACGAACCCACGAGAGTCCTGCGATGATGCCACACGTGGGCCGTGCAAAAATGTCAACGAAACCCAGAATGGTAAGCAGGAGGGCGGATTTCGTGTCCTCGTTTCCCAGCTCTTTGGCATAGCTCACCACAAACACTGGAGGCACAAACAAACCAAGCACCATAATGGAGGCAGCGACGGTGTAAATGACAAAGCCCCGGTCTCTGAAAACACTGAAGTCCAGCATCTTGGGTTTGGGTTTTGGTTTCTTGTCGCCATCATCCGGTGTGTTTTCAAATCCAGGGGTCTCTGACATCTTTGGTGGGAGCAAAGGCCTCATTAAAGCCCCACAAGCACAGCAGTTCAGCAGTATCCCTCCCAAGATGAGGAAGCCCCCTCTCCAGCCATATTCATACTGAAGGACCTGCCCCAGAGGGGACAGACAACACAGAGCCACCGGACTCCCAGCCGCTGCCAGGCCGTTAGCCAGCGGACGCTTCTCACTGAAATATCGATTCAGCATAATGAGTGATGGCTGAAAGTTCAGAGCCAGTCCAAGACCTGGAATCAGAGAATAGAAATGTTTACATGTCACTGGATAGACATCAGTCACTCAATAAAGGAGTAAATGAAGTACCTGTAATGACTCCTATACACAAGTAAATGTGAATGATGCTCGTGGCAAATGATGCCAAGATCATTCCCAAGGATGCAAAGAGGCCGCCCACCAACATCACTGGACGACACCCAAATCGATTCACTAAAATGCTGCATAAAGGCCCTGCGAAGAGTAATTATGTACATCTGAACTGTCTGAATCTGGTTTGAAGTTATTTACAAGACATGAATGGGGTAGTTCACCCAAAAATAAAGATGCTGTTCCAAACATGGAACACAAAAGGAAGATATTTTGAAGAAATGTGTTTTTTGTCCATACAGCGAAAGTCAATGGGATCCAGTCTTGTTTTATACGCATTTGCCTTTCATTACATGCATGGACAAAAACAGTTCAGACATTCTGTTCCCATGAAGAAAGTCATACAAGTTTGAAATTACATAATAATGACAGGATTTTCATTTTTGGGTCAACTATACCTTTAAGACTTTGTTTGATTGGTGGTGAAGAACATACCAGTGCCATAAAGCATAGCCAATAGGATGGAGGAGATCCAGGCTGTGTCACTGTAGCCCACCCCAAACTCTCGAATCAGCTCCTTGAAGAAGACACTGACGGCCTTTGGAAAGGCGTAGGAGAAACCTGTGATGATGAAGCAACCAAAAAGCACAGCCCAACCCCAGCCACCATCAGGGGCCTTCACTCTACTTCCTCCGTCATCCAGTGCCACTCCACCCATGATGCTCTACTGCTCTGTGAAAAGATCAGACAACCACACACATGTTATTAGGGGAATAAGTTGTAGTATGCAAGTCAAAAATAATGCCTTCAGGACCCTTTACCAGAAATCCCATTCAGTCAAATGACAAAGTAGACGAGTTGTGTCGTGTCTTCTGCTGCCTCTGTGAAGAATCACTCTCGAAGTCTTGGGTTTTAATGCCAGAAGACATCAGAGATATAAAGTCTGCAGAGCAACTATAGAGTCTGTCTTTGCAAACTCTTATATACAGTTTTCCATATGCTCTCCCTTAAGGCGTGGCCAATACATTTCAAACATGCCACTATTGTTTATCAACTTTTTACCATTTTTGGCTATGACTCCAGTCTGTTTAGGCCCCAACCTATTAAGTGGAACAAGAAGTCTCAGCTCATCCCATATTTTCTCCAATGTCAAAACGAGAGGCTCAGCTCAGCATATTGGAACACATTCCATTCTCTTACTGTCAAATACATGACTATATTATTGTTAACATAAATCCCATTGATTAGACTTCTCGTCGCTTGATAAACTTAAGATTGAGCCACTGTAGTCACTTGGACTATTTTAACAATGTCTTTATTAACTTTTCTGGGCCAGCAGATGCAATTACCTAGCAGCCTATGAAGGACAGAGACCACTCTCAGATTTAATCAAAAATATCTTAATATGTGTTCCGAAGATGAACAAAAGTCTTACGGGGTTGGAACAACATGAGGGTGAGTAATTACTGACAGAATTTTCATTTTGGGGTGAACTAACCCGTTAAGCGTTCTTATAATGGTTTTCTATGGGAGGAAAATTCTTAACGTGTAATTAAACACGTTGCTTTCATATTCTGGGCTCATCTGATTTTTTGTATAATATACCCTACTTTATTATGATTTTAGTATCATAATAAATTTAGCATAATAAATGCATGCACAATTATCCGTGAACTTGATAAATGTTGCAGATATGTTTTGCTATGCACAAACAAATGCCTTTCAACTTATGTGTGCAAAATTCTGAATTAAATGAATGTGCAGCAATTTGTACAAATAGAGAGTCTGTAGGCCTATATGTGTTGTAGCCATTAAATAAGCGCATTTAGTTTCATATTTGTTAAAGGGATACTCCACCCACAAATGAAAATTCTGTCATCATTTACTCACCCTCAAGTTGTTACAAAATATCTTCCTTTGTGTTCAGCAGAAGAAAGAAACTCATACAGGTTTGCAACAACTTGAGGGTGAGTAAATGATAACAGAATTTTCATTTTTGGGTGGAGTATCCCTTTAACCATATTATGTTATTTTTTTCCCCATCTATGTTGATTATGAAAAGTGAACAGCATGAGTAAGATAGGATGCGCAATATATCGTGAGACATGGAGTGGGTCAGATATGATTTTGACCACTTCAGTAAGTTTTGTTTTGTAGAAAGCCTTTCTTTAAAGTTAATTTCGTGTTGTATAAATTGTATCTTAATTTTAATAATTTTTTCATCAAAAAAATTTGCCTGGATTTAATAAATAATAAGCAAATATAGCAGACAATATAATCATGATGCCGGCGCGGTCACTTGGATTGCACTGAACTGGAGCGCACCTTATCATAAATTAACCGAAACTTAGCGTATGCCTCACAGACATGAGAAATATATCTATAGAAAGCTTGAAGTGCCTTCAAACGAAACAATTAAAAACAAAAAGAAATAGGCTACTCTCTAAATTTTGTAATCCATTGTGTGCATTTCTCTCTTTAGGCGCACGTTCACTACGGAGATGGCGATCGTCAACTTCATCTTTGCAGCCGACACTGACAGAGAAAACAGTAGTTTATTGATAAAAATCAATGCACTCTTGTCACCGGATTTACAAATGCACATCTTGCTTGTTGCATGCACACATATTATGTCGAAATAACATTATTAATAATAAATCTTTAAGAATATTTGATTGAATGATGAATGTTGTGCTTGTTCAATTTAATAAAATTAAAACTATAGGCTATATATATATATATATATATATATATATATATATAATAGGCTATATATATACATATATATATATATATATATATATATATATATATATATATATATATATATATATATATAAAATTGCATATATATATAATTGCGCAGCTCCCCCTGTCAATGATCTAGCACCTCCTCAGCATCTGCGTTAAAAATTATCTGGCGCTGCCCCTGCTGACCATGTTCAATCAGTGTGAACAATTGCGGTTATATTCAGAGATTTGATTATGTAGGTACCTTGTTTGTTGGTGTTTTTGAAGCATAATACAAAAAATGATCAATCAGTGTTTGTTGGTGTCTGTTGGGGCAGTGTGAACAGTTATTTTTCATCATTCTAAATCCAACTGTTTTGTCACCGTTGTCTGCGGTGTGAATTGGCCGTAATATGACATTCTATGCGTCTGTCAATCATCATTGGAGCGCCACCCTCAGGCTGAATAACGCAAGGACAATAGAATTCTGCCAAAGGTGTGTCTGATGTGTTCAGCGATTGATTAGAATATAAAGCTTACTAAATGTTTGTCATAAACTAGTGCTCAGAAGACTCAGAATCTGCCCTACCCAAATTTATGACCAAGAGCCGCTACAACTGAAAAATTAATTAGAGAAAATGTTATTATGACTTTTTATGACATTTTTAGGTTATCTCGTTTTTATTATTTTGATGAGTGATAAATCTCTGAGCTTCTTTGTATATTTAAAATGTAGCCTATGTAGCGTATCATTTTGTGTGTCTTTTTATTTATTTATTTTTTACAGTGATGACTAATAGCTACTATATTGCCACACACTTTATTGTTGACCAGTAATAATAACCTAACTAGTAGCCTATTTGGTAATGAAAGCTATTGCCATGGTAGCCTACATTTTGTAAGGAAATGGTAAATTTGAGGAAACGCACAAGCCAGCACATCTGCTGATCGTTCAGAATATTCCTTGATTCGGCTCAAATGAACTGCCTGTCTACGTCTGAACTCACCTGGTTAAAATGGAACCTTAAATGCCCTTCCTCATCACGTACAATGTCAGATGCGCAATAGCGGCACTTTTACGCGGTCCGACGCATTTCTGTAAAACAAGCCTCTAATAACTTAATCTTTTATTCAGATCAGCTAGTATAACACTATTCTTTGTTTTAAACATTGGATGCCTTTTCACAGCGTCAGAGTGTTCCGTAATTCTTAGCTACGTAATATCTCCTAGTCACCTGTTACGTTTGTAGGCTATTTGGGGAATATATCAAGGGATGCTGCATGGATGCGGGACAGGCTCATGCGCAGTCCACATTTATAATGAGATGCAAGGATATTTAAGTTCATAAATACTCAGTACATAATTTATCATGCATGATATCTATATATACACAATAGCCTTATTATGAAATGAGGCTTTATGTGCAATATGTCGATTTTTTAATAATCAATATAGCCTACATATATGCAGATTAAAATTTCTTAGCACATCAGCTCCGCTTCATTAGCCTACATCAAATTAACATTTCAACGAGGTCCTACAAGATCTGTGCAAATATTTATCTTTATCTGGAGAGGCTAATAAACAGCCTTAAGCACTAAAACATGTTTATCCAAATCCTTTAATTGCCATTTATGTTTCCTGGATGATATAAACTAAATGTAAATGGTACTTACTAAACAAATGATTCTCTTCCACCTTCAGATTTCAGTTCTGATCACCGGAACACGCTTCTAGCAGAACGTACGACAACATAGACGTAAATAAAAAAGAGAAACGCGACTATCCGGTGTTCTGTGGACTGGGTCCTAGAGTCTGCTGTTGTCATGTTCACCTAATCTTGCGTGTGATGTAAGCATTTCTTTCTGCGTCTTGTGCAACTGTGTAAAAATAACCTGGTCATATCTAAGTTTCCGTAAGTTATAAAATATTAAAGTTGCAGAACAGGAAATAGTCCTATGAGTGTAAACCAAATTTAAATCTGAAATATTCACTTTGTTATCTCAAAAATTATATCTGAAAAAAATGCATAGCCTATATAGGGCTATTTATTTTTATTAATATTTTTAATGCAGTAGCCTATTTATTATAAATGATTTATCCATGCACATAATTATTGTTTTAATTCATGTGCCCTTGAAATTTTTCATCATAATTTTTCATTTTTCCTTTCCATAACCTTCTTGCAGCGATATATTTTCTCTAATTACGTATTTACTGGCGCGAGGGTGGGACAACATGTCACATCACAGCAATAGCAAACCACAACCATCCAATCATGTCTTTATATAGACAAACAAATTAAGTCCCGTCCTATATTTTTTTCTTGTTTGAAGAGCAGTTTCATTCGAATTAGATATACGGTGGCCCAGCAGTGCTGTGCACAACACAACGAAATTTAAAAAGCAAACATAAGTTCACAGCACAACGAAATTGCCACAACACACGGAACATGTACAACACAACGGAAATAAGCCACAACACAACGGGAAAAAAACACAACACAACAGAAAAAATAAGCCACAACACAACAAAATAAAGCCGCGCAACACAACGGAAATGCTACCGAGCCGTAGGCTCGTCTCGAAGGGCGGTAAAGTTAGTTTTCCATGCCACTGTTCTGAGTCAACAGTCTAAAAATGTATCAACACCACGATTAGTTTTAACAGTATGTAGCTAACCATTGTATATCGACATTTATTACTTCAAAATCACCTAAGTCCATATAGCTGTATATTTAAACTCTAGAATGCTTTGACGCGCTCCTACAGCGTGACGTTCCCGGATCATGCGCCGTGGAAGGGGGTCAGCATTCTCGTGAATAAATACGCAACAATAATTAATGTAGGTGATTTTGAAGTAATATTTTATGTCGATATACAATGGACTGTTAAAACTAATTTGGTATTGATATCAGTGTCGACTCGACAATGGCAAGGACAACTAACTTTATCGCGCTCCGAGAGCCCTCTAGTGGCCGGGAGCAAGTTGTGTTGCTGTTGCTGCTTTATTTCGCTGTGTTGCTGTTGCTGCTTTATTTCGTTGTGTTGTGGCTTATTTCCGTTGTGTTGTACATTTTCCGTTGTGTTGTGGATTCATTTCGTTGTGTTGTGAATTTATGTTTATGTTTGTCGTTGTGTTGTATAACTGAAGAAGTTAAATTCGTTTATGAATAGTAACAGCTGAACTAAAGGCATTGCTATTTGTTTGAAAAATCAGGTTTAGCTCAATGAAACATTTAGGTACTGTTCTTTAATTTCTAATGTCAGAAAGGAGCATTTATTGTCTCTGTAGCCAGTTCTGTTGTACCTTTTCATTGCCAGAACATGGCAGTTTGTTCTGAGCCTTTCTAGCGGGAACGGGACTGGCCTCTAAAATCACCCCGGGGGGCATCAGAGGATTGATCCATGCTGTGGTGTAACACAAAAAACACAAAGCCCATTGCTCTCTCTGAGTGCCAAACAGAATGTGGGCCATCAATACGAACACGTCCACAGTAATGATGTTCAATGCATATTTTGCTTATTTCATCAGAATTTGAATTGAAATGTCTAAATTATATGTTTTTTTTTCTGAACCCTGCAATGACCTATTATGGAAGCATATACTAAAGCAAAGGGGAAAAGGAAAAGAATGAAAGGAAATGATAGGGATGACAATACATCCCAGCTAACCTTGGCTTGACAGTTTCTCTGTTTGAATGTTTGCAGAAAGAATGAAACAGGGGTATCTAACTTGCCAGAAGTAAATAGATGGATGAATATTTAATGTGAGTGCACAAGCATTTGATGTGTTGCTAAAAAATTTGATTGGTGATATTATATTGGTCTTATAACGTGGATTTATAAACTTTTTTGTACCAAAACCAGAGCTGTCAGGGGGGAAAAAAACGAATGTTTACTACCATATTTCAGTCTGTGTTAATAAAAATAAAGCTTCCAGATTTCCATGGCATTCATCTATCGTATCCTGTTAAAAGCACTCGATTCAGACTTGCGGGCCACTGACTACTGAAAGAGAAAAAACCCCAGAAGAGAATTATTGTGCCGCCAACAAATGTTCTGAAAGATTATTCTACAAAAAGAGAATGGACATGAGAGGTATTGTAGCATTCTGAATGAAGACAAAAAAGGACAAAAAGTGTGAATTATTCTTAAAGGCACACTGTGGAACTTTTCAACCTTTATAATATATTACCAAAACCCATTGAGATGGTACATCGACTTACAATAGGTTGAATGACACGTCTGCCGTAGCCTGAAGGTGTCTGTATCGCTTTTCCTAGCACTATGTAACTTCGGGGTTCGGGTAGGAACCCGAGCACAAAAAGAACTACAAAATTCGACCGCTTTACGGCATACGTCACTTCCCCCACCACCCACAACTTCCTCAGATTCTGACGTGAGTGCTCAACTCGCGTTTGATTGCCGTCTGTATGTTTTCGTCATGGCCGAACCAACAGCTACAAGGAAGAAGGCAAAGGTTTTGTCAGAGGACACTAAAAAAAAGAAAAAGGCATAGTGACAAATGAAAAGCCAGGACGAGGATCACCATTGGTCCAGCGTTCGCTCGCTGGCGTGAGCTACAGGAGGAGGAGGGGTGCCCAACCGATGCTAACGCTTGCCTGTACACAAATGCCGTTTCCAAGGTGACCCAGATAAATCATATAAGCAGTGTAGTATTTTCTATTCCGGCCACAGCCGATGGTGTTATGAGTGTAATAAAGTGCCCACAGCCCATTGTTCATTTCTACACACAAACACAGCCCGTCACAGCTCGAACAAATAAAATCGACTCATGTCAAATGTACATTAAATGTAGTGAACGTTCCCACGACTCAGTGCCCACAAACACTACAGACAACATATCCCACGGTTTCTGTAAAACGAAACCAACACACATAAGTTACAGTCAGCTCAGGCCGACGGTGTTTTTAGTGCAGTAAATGTGCCCGCCGTCCCGCGCCCACATTCACTCACAGACATGTTAGCACTAAGCCCCACGGGGCTCGCCCCGCTCGCTCTCTCTCAGCAGACTGCTATAACAAGGGAATCGAGCGCGGCCAGGCTGCCCGCCTCAAACACTGCAAGCACACACAATCTAAAGACACGGGAAGCTGACCCACTGTCTATAGGCGGACCGGTTGACTGTTTGTTGACTTTTGCGACAGTGCTGCGGAGCTTGTGGCCTCTAGGGACGCTAGACGTGAAAGTTACAGGTCGAGCGCCACTAGTGGCCAAAAGTTCCGCAGTGTGCCTTTAATATAACTTCATTCCTCTCTAATTCAGATTTATACAGATGAATACTTAATATTTTAGCTAGAAACTGGAGGCCTCACACAGTGAAGCCTTACGGCATAACATGGTTGAATAATATTTTGGTAATTGGCTATTTATTCTAAAATGTTTCCATGAATCACAGTTGTACTTCTCGTCTTGTTTATTGTCACTAAATGTACTTTCGAGTCTCAAATGATCACTTCAGTGGCTGGTTTGTTTATCTTTTTTATGTGCAGTGCATGTGAGATGGCTGGAAAATTCGCAATACTTTTTAAAAAGGACTTTATGGCTTTTTATGAGTGCTTAAAATAAACATGAGAAATATGTGTTGATAAACAGTTCATGCACCAGTCATTTATACGTCTAGTCTGCTGCCCTCTAGTGGAGATTTAAAGCAACCTCTTTACGCAGGATCTACACGTACTGCACTTATTCAGCCAATCAGAACTCAGGCGGAAGAAGGCTGTTCTTTCTGCTCTCTAACTGAGAGGTGTATTATTACTTACTTCAAATCACTTTTATCTGTAAACCAACTAACTGTTGACGTTTTTGTATATGGAAAGTGTTTCTACAAAAGACAAAGATAAAATGACACCCCGGAAACGAAAAAGGGACGATACAACAAGCAGGAAGATTACTAAACCGGAGGAGATCGGGTAATGTAGCCTAGTTATGATTGATCCATTTTCTGCATTATATCTGAAGACCATGTTATTCAAAGCAGCATTTTATTTCCCTTTTAAGTTGTTATAGCTATACATAGTTATACCATCCCATATAACGACATGTTCTTCTCTTTGGTTGTTTATTCAGCTCTGAGTCTTGCCACGATCAACCAGGCGATCAAAGTGTTCATGAAGTTGTAAATGACGAGCCATCCACGTTGCCAGGTATTTAATACATATTATATACTGCGTTTTATTCTTTCAAGAATATTATTGATCT